GAGGACTCCACTGAATAAAGACTCCCACTGAATAAAGACTCCGTGAGATGCAGGCTCGTACGAAAGCAATTTACTCAGGTGTAATGCATATGGTTACAAACAAAGCCAGGGTTGGCTTGGCGCAGTTACATACAGTGGTTTTACAGGGTTCCCCTCCTTGACCTGGAGTTACCCCTTTTCCCGCCCTTCTCCCCGTTGCCCTGGGTTACTAGTTTGCCTGTGGTGTTCTCCTCCTCGCCCTAATGGCAGATTCAGCCATGTTTCTTTGTCTGCCTGATTGCTGCCCTTTGTGTGTGGGGTTGTTGAGTCCGTTGGGCTTTTCTTCTGCGGGCCAAGCCGGGGCTCCTTGACTGCTTGTGGATTGCTGCTGAATTGCCGCGCTTCCGAGCTGCTGTGGTTGGCGTTGCCCAGGGCACTCGAGGGAAGCCGGCTTTGCCCCGAGTCAATTGCTGCCACCTGAGGGCAACTGACTTGCAGTTTGCCCTCCTTCCTCTTTTCTGCCACCTGCGGTGAAATTGACTAGGGGTGGTGAAACTGAACAGTGGCGCTGGCGGGCCGGGCCAGCTGAATCTGACATCTGGAAGGAGCCTGCAGATGTTATACAGATGGACCCCCTTAAGAAATCATGGAGGGAAAGTGTAGACCCACAGAATTCAAGAAGGACAAACACTTCAATATTCAAAAAAGAAGGGAGAGAAAAAAAACACCTGGGTCACCACAGACTCTTCAACTTGACATTGATACCCAGCAAAATTCTGGAGCAGATTCTTAAGCAGACCACTTTGTGATCATTTAGAAAAGAATGAACTGCCTGGCACAATAAGTCATGTCATACCACCTTTGTTTTTCATAGTTGAGGGTTTAGTTGACACAGGAATGCACGTCAGCTAAATTATGCCACATCCAGTTGGATACATGACTGGCTAAACTATTTCACCTAGCAAGAAAGCTGAAGGAAGAGTTGAGTTGGTGTGCTAATGCACCCCATTCTAAGCTCTGTGCTATTTAACACATTTATAAATGACATGGACAAGGAATTAGAAAACAGGGTTATCAGTCTGCAGACAGCATAAAGATGGGAGGGTTAGAAAATATCTTAGAAGTATCAAGATTCAGGACAAGGTACACATTGGGCAGAAATCAGAGACGGGAATTTCAACAAGATCAGATGCAAAATCTTATATTTGAGTTAGAAAAATCAAAGGCATGAGTACATGTAGAAAAAGATCTGGGGGTGCTGGTGGATCACAAATTGAACATGAGCCAGCAGTACAATGCAGCTGCAAAGAAAGCAAATGCAAACTGAGGCTGTATAATGTCAAGATGAAGAGAAGCAATCAAGATGATAAGGGGCCTGAAAGGAAAAACTTAGGGGGAATGGATGGAAACACTGGGAATGTTTTGCCAGAAGAGAACACTGCACAGAGACATAAGCACTGTCTTCAATAATCTTAAAGGAGTCTTACATAGTAGATGAGAGAGAATTGTTCAGAATTGTTCCTGAAGAAAAGTTTAAATGACAAGGAAGTAGATTTTGATGGAACATCAGAAAAAAAATTCTAACCGTAGGACTTGTTGAACACAGACTGCCTAAGGGACTGTGGATTGTCCTTTCTTGTAGGGGCTTAAACAGAGGCTGGATGTCCTGCCTTGGGCAGGAGACCGGACAACATGATCTCCAGTGTTCCACCCAAGCTCCTCATTCCATGATTCTGTGAAAATCTTAGCTGTTAAGACAAAAGTCTTGTTTACACCTAACTCAGATGAAGTTGCTTTTGCTCTGGTGCTTAAAAATCATAAAGACCACTGGAGTGGATTTTTCAATCATTAGTTTTGTAAGTTTTTTTGTGTAGCAATTTCTTTTTTCATTGTTTTAGGTGGAAGCACCTTTGAGCAGATTACATATAACAGGAAAAATGGAAAGTTATGACAGAACTATGAATTCTCACCCTAGAAAGGACTGTATCTAACGTACCTTTTGGGAGGCACCATTGAGAAGGCCCCTGTCCCACAAAGCCTTGTTGCCAGTCGGGTCCTCATCGACCTCATCATTCGTGTTGGGCGGCAGCCTCACCTGCACAGGAAGGGAAGGAGTCAAGGCACTGCTTGCAAAGGATTCTCAACAGAGGACCCCCCAGGCATGGATACAGCCAATGGGAGAAGCTGGAAGCGTAAAATCAGGAGAGCAAAAACCAGCATGGAGACACTGTATGAGCGACTAAGCCAATCTGCTCTGGCCAAGAGCAATGGTAGTTTTTAATCTGTGGATCACAATTGGGTAAAATGGGTCACCGTGCCTTTTAGGGTAGGTCCTCTTGATAAATCAACATTTCCTTTTCTCCAAGCATATTAAAGTGCAGGGCATGATGAACTGAAGTGAAGAGATCTGGATACTTTTTGAGAGCAGCAAGGGCTAAACCTGACCTTGAGGGAACTTTCTACTACTTGAAAGTCACCCTCTGACTGTCTGCTTCGAGTTTTCAGTATCAAACACCTCCTCCCTTTCTTGCTGACTCTCAGAGGCCTTGTCTAGAAAATTTTCTGTTGCAATATCAAGAGACTCCCTCAGTCAGAAATTAATAGAAAAAATATTATTAATTCAAAACTGAAACATGGGTTTCAAAGCTGCCCCCCCCAAAAGGACAAGAACGCCTGGTTTATCACTTGGCAAAAGAAAGCTCAAGTGCAGAGCCTGCTAGACAGAAGGGTGATCTTGCAGGCCATGCGCTCAATGACTGAGAATCAGCAAAGGCTCAGGATGCCACCAAGCATTTCACTGTGAAGGTCAAAAATGCCAGAGGACATTTTTTCAAGTCAGCTCGGAAGGCCTCCTGGCTATTCTCAGGCCAACTCACCACACAGATGTTGCCAAACTTGTCAGCTCCAGCCACTGTGTCATAGTCCAGAAGGCAGGCAGTAGTGACCCAGCGAGGGTGGGTGTCATCGGCAAAAATGATCAGCTGGTTTTCATTTCTCTTGTATCGAACCCAGATGAAGCTCTCCTGAACATCAGACACAATTACTCTGTGTCCAATAGTCTGAATCCCACAGATGGAGTTGGCAATGTGCTATAAGGAAAAACAGTTCAGAAACAGACATGTGAATCCAGAGGACAGAATCTGGGCACAAGCAGTCCACAACTGAGACCAGTGCATCACTGTCACCTGAGTTCACGGCTGGCAGTTTTCATGGGAGAGCAGTAATGAAAGATAAAGACTGCTGGATTCACCTTTATATCTGGACAAGCATTCTGAACCCATGGCCTCCCCCCAATTCGGGGGAGAATTCAAGGGCTGCAAAACAGGATTGCGCTTTTGAGGAGAAGCCAGAGTGAAAAGAGAAACCTCGTTGGTGCAGCTATGTTTTGGGAAAGACAGGAGGCAACCAGGAAAGGGCCAGGCCTGCATGTTCAGGAAAAGCGCAAATATAACTGCAGGAGACAAGGAACCATCCGTCTCGGCAATTCCTGGGCAGGACAAGGCTGGGAGCAACAGCCCTTCCTGGCTTGGTCGAGGCTGCTCTTCAGCTGCTCCTGCAGGCTGAAAAGTCTCCACGCGCCACCAGAGCACTGCTTGGTCTGCCCTGGCCTGGCCTGGCCTGGCCTGGCCTGGCCGACACTTTCCTCTGTGCTGCCCCAAGCTCTTCACGTGTAAGAGGGCAGGGTATTTTCCAGAAATTGCCACCTGGCCCATGAAAGTTGGCAGAGAACCAACGCAAATTGGTTTCCGTCCCCACCCTAGCTCTATGCCACTTTGGGTAGCACGTTTATTGGCAGTTAAGATGGCTGAGACAGGTGTGGCTGTGGAGAACTCTTTTCAAAATATCCCAACGTGTGAACTACATGTTACAGCTCCAGGATGTCACCGCTGCAAATTCTGAATTCCTAAGACGGCCAACAACGAGACTTGCCACTGTGACAGCCAAGAGGGATCTTCATGAGGAGGGAAGAAAAAGAAGCCACAAACAGCCTCCAGCAACTCCCCACGGCTTATGTTCAGGGAAACCAAAACTCCCGCAGAAGGAGGCTAGCCTGGAACCGGAATGCAGTCCAAAGGCGACAAGCCCATTTGCTGCCAGCATGCCCCTTGGCATTGAAAACGCACCAGCTATTCTGGCAGGGCAACCCAGTACCTTATTCTCACACTTCCGCAGCAGCTTCTTCTTGCCCAGATCGTAGACGCGTAGCAGTTTCCCCACGCCAATCAGCACTCTCCCTTGGAAAGGGGCAATGGCCGCTGGCACCTCTTCCACCGGTGTCTGAATGCAAAAGGAGGCCGTTAGAGAAGGGCCCTTAGGGAGCTGAAGCACAAACGAAACTGAGGCTGAGAGCTGGCTCTCTGCTCCAAGAAAGAGCCAGCCAGCGTACAGTGCTGGCCCACGCTTGAGCCAACCCTACCCATGTGTTTGGGATGGTGCTGCTGAACAGAGTCCTGTCGCAGATCAGTTGAGCCACCCACCACCTCTCTAATCGTAACAAGGACAAGAATCTGCAGCTCCTATGCCCAAACCCTGATTCTAAGCAAAGGCCACCTCCCAGCAACTGACAAGAGAGCAGCTGCAAAGAAGGCACCGTGTTTTCTCTTCCAACACAGACAGATGCCCTTCAATAGATGCAGCTGTCAGAGAAAGCGCAAACATTTTTCCTCCAAATGACTGAAATTAGGGCCCAAGCCCCCTCGTTCCTGAACTCATCCTGGAAGCAAAGCTGGAAGCATGTCACTGAGCAAAAGCAACCTGTGTACTCCAGATTTTGATCTCTGCCCCCACAGTCTGCTTTCTGTCAGAAGGATAAAACCACCCCACCAGATGCTGCAGGGAGCTCACCTTGTGCAGGAACTCGAGTTTCTCACCGCTATTCACCAACTTGTAAGTGTAGACAAACCCTCCAGCAACGGAACGTGGGTTCAGAATCAGGTCTTTGGCCACTCCCACAAGGACATGCCAGTCGTCCCCAGCATTGGCAAAGCGGCACACAGCCACACTAGGGACAAGCATAGGAGGAATGAGCAAGTAAGACCTGTGGGCTTCGGAAAGGAAAGAGAGAGCCAGGAGGCACAGGAAGGGCAGGGGGACCATCTCAGTGGCACAGAACTGTTTCCACCAACTGTTTCCAGATCAACGACTGAAATTTCAGTGAAAGCCAAAATAAAGTTATCTTGCAGTTTATGTGTTTGTTTTTGAATTGGCACCTACTTCATTAGACATCAGAATATAAAATGGTAAGTACTGACAGTATCTGACTGCTCCATTTTTCAGACGCTTGACCCCAAGGGCAGCAAAGAGAAACTCGGCCAAAAGCCCAGGGTGCAATTACCTGAAGGCAGCCTCATTCTGCTCCAGCTGGACAAGATCTAGAGTGTTTCCTTGAATGGGGTTCATCACCCTGACCACTGAGGCCCACTGTCCGTTTCCTGCTTTGGGGGCACCAAAGATGGACTCTGGAAGATTCTCATTCAGAAAAGCTGCGGCCATCTCTGCAGCGAGTTCCCTCTCATCTTCCCCCGCAGCTTCTACCATTTCCTGTGATGCACAAAGAGGAGAATCCGTACACAAGAGGGAGTGAATTCCCAGACCAAACCACTTTTTCCAAACCCAAAAGACCTCTGGAAACAAGGCTTGCCTCTGGCTGTGAAAAAGCTGGACCTTGTGTTGCCCAGAAAAGGGGCCATTACTATTTCACTCTGTGGAGTGGAGCAAGACGTGAGGCATAGAGAACTAGCAGGGTCCCTTCGCTGAACTGCCAGTATCTGACCTTCAGACAGACTGCATCTTTTTGACACAGGGAATCAAGAACCCACAAGAAGGGAAACCCTGAGAAGGAGCCAAAAAATAACACATTCCGTTTCTTTCTAAGTTCAGGGGTATCCAAACAGCTTTCCAGGAACATGCTCAGCAGCCACAAAGCAGTAGATGGTGCTTCCTGACCTCCAGAGAGAGGGAGAACAATTTGCTCCCATGCTAGCTGGCCAGGAAGGCCCAGGTCTCCCTCCCACATCCACTGGGGGAGCAATCCCAACTTCAGAATGCCTCTCCCTTCAGCAGCCAGCAGAGAGCCTCCCTTCTTTCCCTGGAAGGCAATCCAAAAGGGATTAAAGAGGCCTCAGGAACAGGGATGTTGGAGTTGGAGGAGGAAGCCACCAGGCTAACCAGGAAGCAGCCAGCAGCACCCAAGAAGGATTGCTGGCTCTGCCATCAAGCCACACAATGCCATTTCTGCCCAATCTCCAGAGAAGGAATATTAGGCAGACCTTTTTTGTCCTGCCACAGCAAGTCCCTAGGCTTGTGAGCTCCCTGCACTGCCATGACATCACCCTCTAATGCTGCACGACCCAACCAGACCCACTTCTTCTTCTCTTCTCCAGCGTGCACATGACAGAGAGCAGAGCTAAAGCTGGAAGGGAAAAGAACCAAGCGGGGGCAGAGGGGCATTCAGACGCTCCTCCGGCTACCTCAGCCATCTGCTGTTTCCTTTGAGCTTTGGTCGCCTCTGTGTAAGCATTGTGGTCAGTCTCGATGATGATCAGATGGCTGCTCTCAGGGTGGATCACAAACTTGCGGGGCGTGTACTGTAACGGGAAGGCAACTTGGTTGAAGACTGCGCCAAGCTTCTCCAGCGCCAAAATCCTGCGGGAGCCAAAAAGCCAGACGTTACGGCTGCCTGAGCAAGCCTGAGGGACACAGGCTGCTCTGAATCACGACTTCATGGGATGGACTGGCCGGCCTGAAATCCTGCTGCCTCACAAGGGCAATCTGTTCAAGGCAGGAGGATTTTTGCTTCTGCTCACCTCTTTGACGCACAGACAAAAATCCCCTTGTGGTTTTCAAAAACAGTTGCCCCCCTCATCCTGAAAGAGAGATCCAGCTGGATTCTGAGTTGCTTGACTGTCGTGTGCAGCTCTTACTCTTTCCCACCATTAAATCTTCCCCTCCGCAGGGAGGCAGGACCCATGTGATTGGTCCACCCCTGGCGTCAGGGTTTCAGAGGGAGCCGGGGGGTATTCCCATGGATCTGCTGCACAGTCCAGCGGAGGCCTTGGCTGCTGCTTGGAATAGGGAGGTGGCTGGGGCCCTGGACAGGATTGTGCCTATGAGACCTCTCTTGCCACATCGGCCCCGACATTCCCCATGGTTTACGGAGGAGTTGAGGGTGCTGAAAAGGGTCAAGAGACATCTAGAGCACCGCTGGAGGAAGACAAAGATCGAATCCGACCGAACACAGGTTAGAGCCGCTATCAAGGCCTACCTTGTGGCAATAAGAGTGGCGAAGTGCCACTACTTCTCCACCCTTATCGCGTCTGCAGAATGCTGTCCGGCGGCCCTGTTTAGGATCACTAGGTCCCTCCTTGGTAAGGGGGATGTGGGGGCTCATTTGCAGGGCCGTGCGGAGGAATTTTCGGAGCATCTGCAGGACAAAGTCACTCGGATTCGTTCCAAGTTAGAGTCTGAGCGTGGGGCAGGGTCTGGGGAGATACCAGGGGACTCTTCTTACCCATTTATCTGGGAACGGTTTGATCCTGTTGCTCCTGAGGAAGTGGACAGGATCCTGGGGACTGT